GCGCTCGCAAAACACGCCCCAGACCACCGGCATCACGCAAACATGTGGACCCCCTACGTATCTGCCACCACCCGCGCGCGACACCGCACCCTCACACAAGACGCCGCTGGCCAGAAACTCCTGGCCTCGCAACAGTCACAGAAGGGGTCGGCGGATGTGGCGTAAGCCTGTAGAATCAAAAATTTTACCCTCTTCGGGCTCCCTCGGGACGGCTCTCGAAGCTCTCTTGGGCTGTTTGGGGAGCCTCGTCGGGGCTTGTTTGGGGCCTCTCAGGGGTCTGGGGTGTGTTGGGGGCCTCTGGGGGGTCCCCGAGTCCTCTCGGAGGTCTCTGGAGGCCTCCTGCTCCCGCTCTTGGGCCCATCTTGGGCCTGTTCTGGGGTGGTCTGGAGCTGTCTTGGGCGCCTCTTCGGCCATCTTGGGGCCTTCTCGGAGCGTCTTGGGGCCGTTTTGGGGGTCTCTTAGGCGGGGGCGGTCTTGGGGGCCTTTTCGGCCGTCTTGGAGCGCTGGAAGCATGGAATGGTGAGAAGGCCAGACGCCTGGGAACAAAAATTAAAATTAACGAGGTTCGGTACTCTGGGCACTCTCGGGAGGCCTCTCGGAGCTCTCTTGAGGTCTCTTAGAGGCTTGCTGGGAGCCTGGAGAGCCGTCCGAAGGCTATCTTGGGTTTTGCTTTGGAGCGTCTTGGGCCGTTATTCTACTTTCTGAGAGCTTCCTGGGGTCGTCTTGGGCTGTCCTCGGGCGTTCGGGGGGCCCCCCTGGAGGCCGGGAAGCGCGATGCGGGAGCGCTGCGCAGATGTCACGGGGAGGTGCCCCGAGCGGGAGGGGTATGTGCTTACATGCGTACATACATACATACATACATACATACATACATACATACATACATACATACATACGTACATACATACATACATACATACATGCATGCATGCATACATACATACATACATGCATACATGCATGCATACATGCATACATGCACACATGCACACATGCACACATGCATCCATGCATACATGCATACATGCATACATGCATGCATGCATACATGCATGCATGCATGCATCCATACATACATACATACATGCATACATACATACACACATACACACATATACACATACACACGTACACACATACACACATACACACATACACACATACACACATACACACATACACACACATACATACATACATACATTTGTACATACATTCATACATACATACATACATACATACATGCATGCATACATGCATGCATACATGCATACATGCATACACATACATGCATACTTACACACATGCATACATACATACATACATGCATGTATGCATGCATGCATGCATGCATGCATTCATGCATGCATGCATCCATACATACACACATACATGCATACATACACACATACACACATATACACATACAAACGTACACACATACACACACATACACACATACACACATTCACACATACACACATACACACATACACACATACATACATACATACATACATACATACATACATACATGCATACATACTGGAACCATCGCGCGCGCTTCGCGCGCGCTCAGGTTCTGGCAAGCCCTAGGCCTTGACGAGTTCAGTGCTCCACTGAAGTGGTGGACCGCAGACGGTTTGAGCGGGAAGTGAAGAACGCTGAACGCATTATGGGCAGTGAGAAGTCCATGCATGTCAATCCGCATTCTGGAAGGCTTTCGGGGAAGATGATTGCGTGGGGGGGCGGAGGCCTGATGAATCGGGTTCCCAGAAAGCCTTCTGGTAACGTGGGCTTTGGGGGCGTCTTGGGGAGCCTGTGGGGGCGTGCTGTCGTCGTCGTCGTTGTAATGTCGTCGTCGCCTCTTGGGGCGCGCCGTCGTCGTTGTAGTCGTCGTCCTCGTCTTCGTCGCTTCGTCGTCTTCGTCGTGGTCGTCGTTTCAAGAGGGCACTTGGGGCAACTTTTTGCGAAACGATCCGCGGAGGGCCGCAAGAAGGCGATCAATCATGTTTCCAGTCAACTTCCCGCACAGCTCTCCAGTAGCGCGATGGTGCTTCGGAGCCTCTGGAGACTCTCGGGCCTATGATGAACTATGTCCCAAGAAGGCTTTCTGGGGACATGATTCGTTGGGGTGTGTTGGGGGGCCTCTTGGGCGTTCCCTGGGGACCCCTTGGGGGCCTCACGGGGCTTCCTGGGGGCCTCTTCGGGGCCTCACAGGGCTTCGTGGGAGCCTCTTGATGGCCTCCGGGGGCCTATTGGGGGCCTCTAGGGCCAGAGACCTCGAAATATCTGTTCGCGGTCCCCCTCTGGACCCCTTCTTGGGAAGCTCTTGAGGCACACTTGGGTTGTCTGGGAGCCTCCTGGGCCGTCTTGAGGCCCTCTTCGGGGCCTCGTGGGCCGCCTTGGAGCGATCTGAAAGGCCTCCGAGGCCGTGAGGGAGCGCTGGGAAGCGGGAAAAGCGAGAGCGCCCCAATCCTTCAACAAAACCCTCGGAAAATACATGACTTTTGCTTCCCATGGCCCTCTTGGGGAGCCTCTTGGGTCCGTCCTGGAGCGCGCTGGAGTCCTCGTCGGCCGTCTCGAGGGCATCTTGAGTGTCTTCGGGGCCCCTTAGGACCGTCCTGGGCTCGGCTACACGCAAGAGTGACCCTGGGTAAGAGTGACCTTTGGTGCGTGGCTTTTTGGGGGCCGCGGGGGGGCCAAACAAGCTCGGAAGACGCCACTGCCGCCTCGCGTTCGGCGATCGCGAGGCCCCAGTGAGCCCGCATCAAAAGTCACTCCAGCGAAGGGCCACTCCTAAATGCAACCGATGGGCCCTCCTGGGACGCCCTTAGCCTGTCGCGGCCCGGGCGGGCCCGGGCCGTCCCTGAGCTCTGGACCCCCCAGAACCCCCCGAGGGGCGCCCCAGGGGGGTACAGGCAGCAGCCCGGCCCCCCTTCACCCGGCCGACTCCGATATTCTTTATAATATATATATATATATATATAGACATATGCATGCATACATATAAACACGTACGCATTGTGCAATATAGCTTGCGCAATCTACGCGGTGCAACATATGTGGAGCAGTCGATGTGGCGCAACAGATTCGGTGCAATCCGTGCTGCGCAGTCTTTGCTGTGCAATGAGCTGCGCAACCTATGTGGTGCAGTCCACGTGTGCGATATATGCTGTGGAATATATGTTGTGCAATCTATGTGGTGCAACATCTGCGGTGCATTCTATACTGCGCAACGCATGTAGTGCAATCTATGCGGTGCAGTCTACGTCGTGGAAAATGATGCAACGAAGCCCTGATGTGCAATCTACACGGCGCAGGCGATGTTGCACAATCGCTCGCAGCGCATGCTGTGCAATCTATGCGCTGACGAGGCGGCCACGGGGCGGAGACGGCGACGACATGGCCGCCAGACCAGCACGGCGGCCCAGACGACGGTCGGCGACCCGGCGGCCACGGGGCCGCGACGGCGACGGCAGCCGCCAAACGGGCACGCGCTCCCAAACTGAAGGGGCCCCAGAACACACAAATAAATGCACACAAATAAAAAGATTCCCTATATTTTCCCATATTTTCTTGGTTTCTGTCTTCCCCCCCACTGCCCATATCTTCCTATATTTTCTGGGGAGTCGACGATCAATTGTGTCTGTGTGTTTTTTTCCCTCCTGACAAACGACGGGCGGCGACGAGGCGGCCACGGTGCGGCGTCGGCGACGACGTGGCTGCTGCCGGACTGGCACGCAGGCCCGGGCAGAACAAGATCCCCTTGGCGCAAGCACCGCTTCGGGAAGGGTATCGTACGCAGGGGGCCCTCGGAGGCGAGGCCCTCGATCAATCCCTCGAAGGCGGTGGGGCCCTTTCTGGAACGTCCCACGCAGGACGAGCACGAGCCACACGCAGAGCGTCGAGTTCCATCGTCGACCCCTCAGAACCACGGACGGCCTGCCCAAACGTTCCCGCACGCACCGCCTGTGCCAGCGAGCGTGGCCAAGGGAAGCATAACGAACAAGCATGATGCACAGAGGCGAGGCCGCGCAGTCACACACACACACATACACACACACACACACGCCTTTGGAACATTGAGACTGCTGGCGCGTTGCCAGCATCAGCGCTACGAGATGCCACCGCACCCCAACAACGCGCACACACCTACGCAACTCGCTCGCCCAGGCACGAATGGTGCAACTGAAACTTGCATCGTCCCAGCGTGACGAACTCGGGAACCGAATTTGCAACAATCCCCTGGGTACCAAAATTGTTAGAATCCCCCGAAGATCGAAATTGCTCCAATCCCCTTGGGAAAGACATTGCTACAATCCGCACGTCACTGTACAACGCTCCCCTAAATGATCGTGTTTGCACTTTCCGACGAAAGCCTGGGTTATCGGGGGGAGGGAGGAGGTGCAGGTCGATAACCGAACCCTTTCGCACTGTCCAGCCCTGAACATGCCCGCGCAAACCGGTACTGCGCACTTCCTCCGGACCTGCACGACAGACAAGGTCGAATCTATCCAGGGGGGGGAACGGGAGGGGGGCGGGCCCGATCACCCGGGTGACCGCCAGAGCCTTCAACAATCAGCCTTTGGATACTGCAGAAGTCACCGCGCGGTCCGGCCTGGTGGCCGGACCCCTGTGGAAGTTCTGGGGAAGCCCCACTTTGATCACACGCACGTTCTGTGGAAGTTCTGTGGAAGTTTTGGGGAAGCCCCATTCTGTGGAAGTTCTGTGGAAGTTCTGGACGCACGCTGCAACACGTGACGGGACGACGTCGAACCCCAGGCTCCGCCCTCTCCATCGTCGTCTTTTTCTCTCCGCCGCCTGCCAGAAGCCCTACCACCTACCAAGGTAGGTTCGGCGGTGGACGAGCCTCTCTTTCGCAAACCTCCCTTTCATGGAAACGGCCTAGGGCCGAAGCCGACGGACCTGGCCCCGCAAAAATGAGGGCCGCGACGCCCTCTCGCGGACCGAAAACGGCCAATGCGCTCATCGACGTGTCAGGGTAGGAGGTCTACCCACCCCCCGTAAACATGTACACGGAGGCACGCTGTCCTGTCCGCTTCCGAGTGTCTTCGTTGGCCGGTGCCCGACAAGCCGACCACGGGCCCCCTCCGCCACGAAGCCGCATCTGTACCCACCATGGGCCCTGGAGCCCTCTGACATTCCAGGCGTCTTTGCTGCTCCTGCCTCTTCACCTCGCCGAAGGGGCAAATGCTTGGAGACGGCCATTTACCTGTTTGTCTCCGCGTCGGCGGCGACGCGACGAAGAGTTGGCACAGGAAATCGCAAGAAGATGGGTAGAAGCCCTGGGTCCCAGAGACTGGGGAGGGAGGAAGAAAGAGGAAGAGCAATGAGGGAAGCGGAAGGAGCGAAGGGGGAGAACGAGGACCGGGACAGTTAGGGGGTGCTTCAGACCCACGCCAATTCAGGCAGGGCGCTGAACGGGAGCGGGTGCTCACCTGCTACTTCCTCCAGCTGCCCGCAGGGGATGAAGGCTGGCGAGACAGATCTGACGGGGAGTTGCCAGGAGAAGAGGAAACCCCGCGAGGCAGAGGGCAAAAAGAGACCGCCTCGGGGACGCACTGACACGGGTCAATCCAGACCTGGGTCAGTCGGGCGTTGCAGGGTCCTGCAGGATCCTGCGGGAAATCTTGCAGGATCCTGCACCTCGACCTGGACGATAGCCGCCCTGGCCCTGCTAACCAGCCTCAAACGTATCCCTATCCCTAAGATGGGCGAGCAAAAAGCGAGGACAATCTTAGGGATAGGCCCTCAAAAACTGAGGGAATCCTTAAGATCGGCATCGAGGTGAGGTGATGTCAAACATAGGGATAGGGATATGTTTCAAACTGGTGACCTGCAGGGTTCTGCAAGATCTGGCGCCCTGACTGACCCCCGTTTGCACTGACCCCCGCCCCTGGAGCCCCGACCGCCCTGCCAACCTCGTGAATCCGGTGCGAAGGGGCCCGAGCTCTCGGAAGCCGGGCAAGGGCTGCTAAATCCGTGGCTGCTAAAATCGACCTCCGGGAAGCTGTCTTCGTCCTTCCGGGAAGAAGCCCGTTGACCGTTTCGCGTGCCGCGCCTCCTTCCGGGGGAAGCTGTCTTCTCCTTCCAGGAGGGCCGTTTTAGCAGCCACGGTTCTATAGCAGCCCTCGCCCAGCTCCCGACCCTCTGGGCCTCCTCCCGCGAGCGCAGAAGGGCCACGGGCCGGAGGCGGAGCAGAGCGCGGAGGGCGAGGCAGGGCGAGGGCGCACGGCGAGGAGGCGGGGGGGGGGGGCGGCTGGAGCGGCGAGGGGCCGGGGGCACGGCGGCAGAGGGAGGGTTACCAGCCTCGAAGGTATCCCTATCCCTAAGATTGACACGGCAAAAGGCGATGACAATCTTGGGGATTCGCCTTCAAAGGGAGTCCCTAAGATTGGCATCGTGATGAGGAGGTGCCCAGCATAGGGACAGGGATATGTTCCAGGCTGGTAAGAGGGGGGCGGCGGACAGGAGCAAGGAAGGGCGACACCGACACTGCCAGGGCGAGGAGGTGCGAGGAGCAAGGGGGGTCTCCCCGATGGTGGGGTCACCCCCCCTCTCGCTCGAGACATCCCGTGCCCAGCTCGGGGGGGCATCGTGGACCTCTTCGCTGGAGGTGGCCCCCTGGTGGTGTTGGTGTCGCTTCTCATCCCTCCGGAGAGGAGCACACGCCGCGCAAGGAGGAGCACACGCCGCGAAAATATATACAGCGACACCCTCTGACGAACCCTGCGTGCCCATCGAGGAAAGGCGGCGGTGCCTACAGTCGAGCCTGATTGATAGGCCGACCCTGCCCAAACAAGGGTGCCCTTGTCCTGTGTTTCGCGACCCATGCCCTCTGCGTTCCACTGGCAATGTGGCCATCGGAAGAGTCTCGTGTCCTCTCGCGTGCCCTCTCCAATCCACCCCGACTGTAGAAAGTCGACGGCTCTCAGTGGTGACTGATGCACCGCCACCATCCCCTGAGGCCAAGGAGGTTCCCAGAGGGGGGCGGGGCTCCTCAGAAGCCCGTGAGTACGGCCTTCCGAGGAGCCGCCTGGGTCCTCGGAGAGGGCTGCGAAGACGTCTGGCAAGGCCCAAGGCCTTCTGAGCCTCCTGAGGAGGCGCGCCCCATCTGACTTCCCCCCTCCCCCGGGTCGCCGCCGAACATCATGGACGAGGAGGAGGCCGAGGCCTCTTTTCGATCCGAATCGCCAACGCGGCGCTGGGGGAGGCCGTCAGGCCGCCCGGAAAGGCTCGCAGTCGGAACTCTTGGCCACGATCCACCACCGGGACCCCAGGCGGAGCATGGAGAGCACGTCGGTGTACAGGATGGGGGGGTAGCCGATCTGCAGCTTCACCAGCGCTACGTCCGCTCCGGCCTTGTCCACGCTGACCACCTTGTCGAACTGCAAGGCGGCGGGGTCCTGAGAAGAAAAAACGGCAACAAAAACACAAACGCTTGGCGCTCCGCGCGGACTTCTTGGATCTGCGGTGGACCCCCCTCCCTGGCGGGCGGCGCCAGAGGCGCCGCCGGGGGGGGGCAGCGCGGATCCAAGAGATCCGCGCAACGCCAGAAATTGATGTTCATGCAGTATGTTCTTCGTCAAGTCCTCCGCCGTGACCGCGCGCGCGCGCACGCGCTCGTCGGGGGTTGCCAGAGGTGCCCCTGGCCCACGGCGCTCCCAACTCGTCGCTCCATTCTGGAGCTCCCGGGGCCCTTTGGGCCTCCTGAGGAGAGCCCTGGAGGCCGTGTGGGCCTCCTCGGGAATCCTGGAGGCACCTTCCCTGAGATCGGACATCGCAAGCAAATGTAACATCGCAAACAAACACGAAGCCCGGACTCCATCGTTCCGCGCCACCTTTCGCGAGCAGGATCGATCTGTGAGGGCCCCAGGGCCCGGCATTGGGCGCACACGCCCCGTGTGAACACAGCGCAGCGCCAGGACCTCGGGGCTGGACCAGGGGGCGCCTCTGGCCGCCCCCGGGCTCGAAGAAGGCGTCGCGGGAGCACAGCACCAGCTCGCCGCCATCGTCGGCGTACAGCAGGCGGGCCACCTGCGCACAGAAAGGGCCGCCCACGGCGGCGCTGCAGGAGGCCCGCGGAGAGGCCGGCCCCCGCGGGCAGCGAGGCCGAGACGAAACCGAGACCCACCCTTGCCGTCGCTCGGACGTCCAGTTCCTGCGCATGTGTCGGTTTTTCGTGCGCGTTTTTGTTTGCTCGACGGTCCAGGATGGTCCTCGATGGTTCTCGCCGAGAAAAAATGCACACGTCCGAGCGATGCCAAAAACCGAGACCGAGGGACAGAGCGCGGCCTAGAAGGGCGCCTGTAGGATGCTGTTGTTCCAATGGCAGCGGGTCAATTTCTCAGGGCGCGCTGCGTAGAGCACGGCTTCTCTGATAAAGTCGAGCAACCTACGCGCAACGTGACCTGTTAGATCTGATTATCACGAACACGCCGGAGAGTTGAGCTACATTTTGCTGATCATGGTGATGTTGCGCCCATCGTACTTCAGGACCACATCCTAGAAACAAGTTCGAGCACCCAGAAAAGTATCGAAACAGTGTAAAACGAGTATCGCCTCCCAGGGCCCGACACGTGGAAACCCTCCAGTTTCGGCACTTTTCTTGGTGCTCGAAAGGCTTTCTGGCAATCAGGGCTTAAGTGAGTTGTCAAGGGCGTAAAAAACGCCCCTAATTACCCTGGTTCATGAGGCGTTGTGCGCTGAACCTCCTGTGGGCTGACAGGGTAAACCCTGCGTATCGCGCGTGCCGCGCGGCGTCCTGGTGATCGAGGCTAAGGTAGGTTGGAACATCATCCGGGGATGGACAGACCTCCCTTTAGTAAAACGTGGTTTAGTGAAAACGACCTCGGGCCCAAACCTGGCGGCGGCAAGCCTGGAAAATAATGGCCGCGGCGCCCTCTCGAGAACCGAAGACGGACAATTCACTAATCGACGTGTCAGGGTAGCACCCGAATCATAACCGCCCGCAGATTTCTCAGGGGGGAGGTGGGGGCCTCTTCGCTCGGGACCTCCTGAGCGAAGGGAACCCCACTTCCCCCCTGTAGAGATCGTGGGGTGGCGGGGTAGGGCTCGCATGTGGCCACCGAGCCTGCGGCGCGGCAGCCGACCGAGCCGAGCCGGTTCGGCCTCCAATCTGGACGCCCGCAATGGGTACGGAAAAAAAGGGCACAGTGCCCAACAGCAAATGTTGCCCCAAGCCAACAGCGGCCGCCGTTGGGCAGGCGGCCTTCTGTCTCGAATGGACACAGGCCGCGGCGGCGTGGACCGCGAGACCTGTGCAAAATGAACAAGATCCGCTGTTGGGCGTTGTGCCCGTCCTTTCCGTGCCCATTCCGTTCGTGCAGATCCAAGGCCCCTCATCGGGCCTGGGAACCATCGAACTGAAGCCCCAGGACACACAAATAACTACACACAAATAAAAAGATTCCCCACATTTTCCCATATTTTCTGGGTTTCTGTCTTCCCCCCCACTTCCCATACTTTCCTATATTTTCTGGGGAATCGAGGATTTCATTGTGTCTGTGTGTCTCATTTCCTCCTGACGAACATGGATCCGGGACGAAAAACCCACCCCCAGGGAAGAGGTCGGAACCTCGGGGGCCGCGGGCTGAAAAAATTAGCTCGGCGGACGTCTGGGGAGCGGGCCCAGCCGCGGACAGCCTCGACCCGCAGGGGGGGCCCACAGGAGGACGCACGCGCCCGGCCGCGCGCACGCACGCGGCCCCCCCCCCGAGGCCGCGAGGCCGGCCTCGCGCTGCGAGCCCCGTGCGCGCCACGCGCCTGCTCGAGACCCACGCAGACTCGCGTGCGCGCACGTCCAGACTGAAGGGGCCCCAGGACACACACAAATAAATACACACAAATGAAAATATGCCCAATCTTTTCCCGTATGTTCTGGGTTTCTGTCTTCCCCCCATTTCCCATGTTTTCCCATATTTTCTGGGGAATCGAGGAATTGTGTCTGTGTGTTTCTTTTCCTCCTGAGTAGACTCGCGTGCGCGCACGTCCAGGCAGTTGGCCGCTCCCATTTTTCCGGCGCGCGGGCCCCGGAGGTCTGGACCACTTCCCCATGGGCCGGACTTCCTTTGCCCCGAGTCGTTCGTCGACGGTCCCGAGGCGCGGCGAGGGCACCCGAAGGCCGAGAACTGCCAAAAGCCTGCCGCTCCAATGTCTCCGGGGCGTCGGACCTGTGGGTCACGAGCGCGCACGTCTTGTTGGGTTGGCCCCTCGAGGCGGACGGAACAGAGCACACTGGTACGACGTGTCCTCCTCAGAGGCACGTGCCCGACCCGAGCCTGCAGTACAGCCACCTTGCACTGAACTGTTGCCTCCCGAGCGGTTGTGGCCGGAGAGCGCCCGCCACGGAGCCAATACTGTTCGATTTCTCGGCGCGCGCGTCACCCCTGGGTGGGTGGGGTGGGGTGGGGGGGGGGGCGGGGGGCGACGCACACATAGTACTTGCCATCGCTCGGGCGCCCTTCCCCCGTGCCTGTCTGGCTTCGTGCGCTTATGTTTCGCAGGATGATCCAGGGTGCTCCTCGATGATCCTCGCCGGAGCGCGCACGCCCGAGCGATGACAAGAGTATGAGCATGCTGGGGTGACGCCGACGAGGCCTCGTGCCGGCTCTCGGCGACCATCATCTCCAGCTGCGGCAGGGCCACTTGTGAGCAGGAGGCATCTCTGTCTTCAAAGCGCGGACAGCAAGTCCTGTGCAACATGAACAGGACTCGCTGCCGGTCTTTGTACAGTCGGACCTGGGCCAGCAGAACATCCTTCAGGAGCATGAGACCCTCCAGCCTGCCCAAAACACACACTGAACATCCTGCAGGGTACCCTCCCCAGGATGTCGGGAGCGGCCGACCAAGAGGGGGGTGTCCAAGAGGGGGGGGTGCTAATCATGACTGGCGGCATGTGCGCGGCCCAGCGGGGGAGCCAGGGACGCAATGCAATAAGAAGAGGCGCCATGAAATCTGGGGAAATATCGGGGCCCCCGCCATGATATCCCCCCCCCAGTCACCACCCCCCTCTTTCCCGCCCACGAGGATGCAAGGGAGCATCCAACGAACACGAAGCACACGAGCGTAGCCTCCCCGGTGACCGACCTCAACCTTCTGCCCTGGCCCGACTGCACCCCTGCCCTCCGCCCCCCGTCCGGCCGCCCCGCGGCCTCGTGCCAGCTCTCGGCCATCACCTGCGGCTGCGACAGGTGACCCCCGCGCAGGTAGGCGACCACCCCCTCGGCGGGCTCTGCGCACGCGACGGCCGGCGCGCTCGGCTCGTGATAGGAGGACTGCGCGAGCGGGGCCGCGGAGAATCGGCGGCCCGAGAACACTGGGCCTGGAGGGCTGCGGCCCCGGAGAGCCGACGCCCCAGGAAGAACGGAGCGGCTGGCCTGGGGCCATGCTCGGCCTCCGGGGGCCCCCGCCGGGCCACGGGACCGGCGGCAAAACGGCTCGGAGACCTTCCTCGAGAGCTAGAACATATCACCAAGACCTCGACATCCAAAGCCCAGCCCAGGCCTTCAGCAGCCCAGATGCCTTGTTCACGGCTGTTGGAGGTTTCGTGCTGTGGAGGTTTGGGACCCTGGGTGGCATGCTCGAGGCTCCTTCTCCTGCTCCTCCTCCTCATCCTCCTCCCCCACCTCCTCCTGCATTTTCAAACAGTGTATACACTCGGCTTGCGAGCCCCGCTGGAGGAGGAGGAGGAGGAGGAGGAGGAGGAGGAGGAGGAGGAGGAAAAGGACGACGACGACGAGGGGCATGAGGGATAGGATGGAGAGAGAGGAAGGAGGGAGAGGAGGAGGATGAGGAGCTCGCGGAGGAAGGATGAGGAGGCGGAGGAGGGAGGAGGCGGAGAAGGAAGAGGGAGGCGGGGAAAGGGAGGAGGACGAGGAGCAGGATGAGGGGCGGACGACGACGACAACGGCGGCGGCGACGATGGCGGCGCTGCCGTGGTGGCCGCACCTCCGCCCGGCGCGCCTTCGCGCGCGAGCCTTGCTGGAGGAGGAGGAGGAGGAGGGCCAGTAGCAGAAGGATGGCGGGGACGAGGAGGGGCAGGAGGGATAGGAGGGACAGGGAGCAAGGAGGGAGAGAAGGATGAGGGAAGTGGAGGAGGAAGGAGGAGGCGGAGGGCGGAAGGTTGAGGGAGGGGCTGGAGAAGGAGGGTAGAGGGGGAAGAGGAAGAGGAGGAGGAGGAGGGAAGAGGAACAGGAGGGGGAGGAGCAGCAGGAGGACGGCGGCGGCGGCGGTGGTGCTGGTCGTACCTCCGCCCGTGAGTGTCTCCGCCCGACGCGCGCGGGGGTTTGGAAAGTTGGAGGCGGAGGGAAAGAAAAAGGAGGCAGAGTGAGGTAGGAGGTAGGAAGGCGAAGGAGGAAGAGGGAGGTAGAAGGTAGAGGAGGAGGAGGGCAGAGGAAGAAGATGTAAGGCAGGGGGGATGCAGATAGGAGGGCGGAGAAAGAGAGCGGAGGAGGGTACGAGGGCAGGGACAAGGATGTAGGCGGGCGGAGGAGGAGGACGGAGGCACGAGGGCGGGAGGTGGGAAAGTAGGAGGGAGGAACGCAAGAGAAGGGATGTGCAGGGAATGATGGCGGGGGAGCTTGAAAGGGAGGAGGGGGGGAGAGATGCATATGTGACGGGGATGACAGCTGTTGTCGTCGTCGTCGTCTTCGCCGTCGCCGTCGCCGTCGCCGCTCCCCTCCCTTTCCCTGGGCCCCCCCCGGGCGGTTCCGGGGTCCGAAAAAAAAAACCCCACGACGTAGCAAAAGTGCCCCAAGAGGCCCCCAAAAAGGTCCTCGAGGGCCCCGAATCGCCGAAACATTGGTCCTAGTCGCGATAGCCTCCAGACGGCTCAGGAGGTTTCCAAAACGCTTCAAGAGGCCTCCAAGAGCACTCTCAAAGGGGCTCAAAAGAGGAAAAATCAAAGATTTCCTTTAGGTTTTTGAAATATTTCGGCATTATCGCCCCGTCAGCTTCCCGACGCTCCAAGACAGGCCAAGAGGCCCCCAAAACCGCCCCAAGATGGCCCAAGAGGCCTCCAAGAGGGCCCCAAAACGACCCAAGAAGGGCCCCAAGACCGCCCAAGAGGCTTCCAAGACAGCCGAAGAGACCCCCGAGACGGCTCCAAGAGTGAGCCCAGACGGGGGCCCGAACGGATACTTCGAGCCCTCGGCCAGAGAAGCTCCCAGGAAGCCCCCACACGCCCCTAGAAGCTCCAAGAGGCCCCCAGGATACCCCCAGGAAGCCCGAAAAGGCAGGCCCCCACGAGGCCCCCAAGCGGCACCCAATACCCTCCCACGAGGCCCCAAAACTACCTCCAAGAGCGCTCGTCGTCGTCGTCGTCGCCCTTCACGGTCGGCGGCGCCGGCCGTAAGGCCTTCGCAATATGTGACCGGGATAACAGCCGAGGAGGTGCCAGGCGCGTCGGAGGCGAGACAGCGGGAGCAAGGATGGGAGATAGAGAGAGAGAGAGACGTTGCTGTTTTTCCTTAGTTGCTGTTTTCCCTTAGTTCGTGAGGTCCTGGCACACTCCCCGGACATGCAAAAATCGGGCGACAATATGTTTGAAAATATTGACGCCTGAGTTTGGCCAACGAATCGGGTTTGGGAGAGGTTGGTTTATCCTGTAATCGTGCCTTCCCAGCTTACTCCCAAAAGAGAGGGGAAAAACGGCCGTCAATATTTTTGAAAATATTGACGCCTGATTTTGGCCACCGAATGGGGTTTGGACGAGGTTGGTTTATCCTGTAATCGTACCTTCCCAGATCACCCCCAAAAGAGAGGGGAAAAACGGCCGTCAATATTTTTGAAAATATTGACGCCTGATTTTGGCCACCGAATCGAGTTTGGAAGAGGTTGGTTTATCCTGTAATCGCGCCTTCCCACCTCACTCCCAAAAGAGAGGGGAAAAACGGCCGTCAATATTTTTGAAAATATTGACGCCTGATTTTCGCCACCGAATCGGGTTCGGAAGAGGTTGGTTTATCCTGTAATCGTGCCTTCCCAGCTCACTCCCAAAAGAGAGGGGAAAAACGGCCGTCAATATTTTTGAAAATATTGACGCCTGATTTTGGCCACCGAATCGGGTTCGGAAGAGGTTGGTTTATCCTGTAATCGTGCCTTCCCCGCTCACTCCCAAAAGAGAGGGGAAAAACGGCCGTCAATATTTTTGAAAATATTGACGCCTGATTTTGGCCACCGAATCGAGTTTGGAAGAGGTTGGTTTATCCTGTAATCGCGCCTTCCCAGCTCACTCCCAAAAGAGAGGGGAAAAACGGCCGTCAATATTTTTAAAAATATTGACGCCTGATTTTGGCCACCGAAATGGGGTTTGGAAGAAGTCGGTTTATCCTGTAATCGTGCCTTCCCCGTCCACTCCCAAAAGAGAGGGGAAAAACGGCCGTCAATATTTTTGAAAATATTGACGCCTGATTTTCGCCACCGGGTCGGGTTTGGAAGAGGTTGGTTTATCCTGTAATCGCGCCTTCCCCGCTCACTCCCAAAAGAGAGGGGGGGGGAAACGGCCGTCGATATTTTTGAGAATCTGGACGGCTGATTTTGGCCAGCGAATCGGGTCTGGAAGAGGGGAACAAGAAGAGTTCGCGGACGAGGAGAAATCGAGACGAGGATGCCGAGGAGCATGGTAGGAGGGGTATTCGCAGGAGATAAGTGCAAGGAAGAGGCGGCAGACGAGCGGCGGGAGTGAGGGGAGGAAGAGGAAACGACCGCAGCGGAAGGGGGGAAGATGAGGAAGAGGAGGAGGAGGAGGAGGAGGAGGAGGAGGAGGAGGAGGAGGATAAGGAGGAAGACCCAGCGTGCTAGCTCCCGCGCGTGCCTGCTCGCCCCCTTCCTCCTCCCCTCCCTCTGACCCCTCCTTTCCTGCCCCCTCTCTCCCCCCCCCTCCTCCCCCTCCCCCCTTAACCTCCTCGTCCTGCTCTTCCTGCTGTTGCGCCTCAGTAGCTGATTATCCCGGCGCCTCCCGGCGCCAGGAGGCGCCCATGCATCGAGGAATGGGCCCCTCGGTGGGGCCGAAACCGGCTGCATGCAGCAGATTTCGCAACCCCCCCTTTCCCAATCCCCCCCTTTCGTCTGGCCCGACTCGCCCTGCAGGCAGCCCCGCCCGCCCGCGTCGCGAGCGCGCGCGCGCGGGCGGCGCGGGTCGGGTGATGGTCTACCACGCCACGAGGCGAGCCTCCCGCGCGGGGCGGGGCGGGTCGGGAGCGGGGGAGACTAGGGGAGAGGGGGAGGAAGGAGGGGGGGAGGGGAAGGAAAGAAGAGGACGAGGAGTGAGGGCAAGGGCGAGGGAGGAAGAGGGGAGGGGAGGCCGGGGCCAGGAGGCAGGAAGGGGAAGCAGTGAGGCAGGATGGCAGGCAGAACGAGAAGGATGAGGAGGAGCAGCAAAAGGCAAAGCCACAGCCCAAGAGAGAAAGAACGATCTAGGTCAAAAGTGAGCGTCAATATTTTCCCCAAGCAGAGCTTGCCTCTGTAGGGGTCCTAGCGGATCCATATGGTTAGGTTAGGTTTGCCGCCGATTTTCGCTGCGCGCCCGGGTGCCCGGGTGCCCGGGCGTGCCCGGGGGTGCCCGGGTGCCCGCTCGGTAGCCCTACAGCCCTATAACCTTAGAGCTTTATAGCTCTATAGCTTTATAGCCCTATAGCCCTATCGCCCTGTAGCCCCAATAGCTTTATAACCCGATGGCCCTAATAACTCCATAGCTTTATACCCTTATAACCCCATAGCCCTATAGCCCTCTAGCTCTTTAGCCATCTAGCCCTATAGCTTTTTAGCCCTATAGCCTTTTAGCCCCATAGCCCTATATCATTAAACAGATTATGAGTGGGCTTTTGTCTGGTATCATTTTATAGTTTTGACGCTTGGCTCTGGGCCTCTTCACGGCCCTATCTGAGAGCAGCAGAAGGCAATATGCGGATGAGGATGAGCAACAGCTTCAGCAATGGAAAATAAATTCTTAAGAGCACTCTGAACAATATAATTTCAACTCTGGCTCGGGTCAATTGAAAGCTGGAGTTTGCACCCGCCCCTGCCCCGCCCGCCCTCGCCCCATCACCCCCCCGCGGGCGGGGGAGAAGAGCGGCGATTGTTCATGCGCCCCCAATGAACGACCCAGACAAGGGGAGGGGGCCATAATGGGAAGACTACGACAAGACACAAAGCAAAACGGAGAGGATGTTCTGGCGATGGGATCAGCGTAAGAGGTAGTATACACATGGTAAAACTCACAAAGCGCCGCGATCTACCACGAACGCAAACTATCGCGGCATTCGTCGCTGGACCGAAGTGGCCAATGAGGACCATACGGCTCCGAAACACACCTGCGAGCTCACGGCCCGTAGCCGGCCTTCTTCGCCGCGGGAACGCTGTAATCTGTCCGGACAAGAACGGCAAGCGCCGTTTTGTCCACCGAGCTTGTAAGATGCTGTCTGCTTGAACAATTCTGTTGTCAGTCACGTACCGCAGCAGACCAACACATATGCTATCATTCATTTTGCTTGTCCCCCCCTGAACTTCGAGGTATTACCCTGCCATGATGGTCTGCCGCGCTGGCCTGTCGTGTTCGTCTGCCGTCACGTGCGCATGATGGACCTTGTGCCGTCGCGGGCTCGTCGGGGCCCTCTTAAGGGCCTTGTTGGGGCCCTCTTAAGGGCCTTGCTGGGGCCCTTTGGGATCATGCTGGGGGCCTGCTTCGCGAGAAGTCCCGAAGCAAACCCTGGCCTACAAAACTTAGTGCCGGTCAGGTCGTAGACCATGGTATATTTCTTGCCATTCGGGCCCGGCGACTGGTACACGGGGCGTTCGCGTCCTGATGGCGTCGTGTGCGTGCAGACTGTCCATCCACTCTTGACCTCCACGGCCTTCCTGGCATCCACGGCCTTCTCGGCCTTCCTGGCCTCCTGGGCCTTCTGCTCCTGCATATTGGCCTCCTCGGCCGCCCTGGCCTGCACGACCTTCTTGGCGGCCTCCACGACCTTCTTGACCTCCTCGGCCTTCTTGGCATCCACGGCCTTGACGGCCTTCTCGGCCTTCTTGACCTTCTCGACCTCCTTGACCTCCACGGCCTTCTTGGCATCCACGGCCATGACGGCCTTCTCGGCCTTCCTGGCCTCCTGGGCCTTCTGCTCCTGCATCTCGGCCTCCTCGGCCTCCGCGGGGGCCCCCTTGGCCTCCTCGGCCTCCACGGGGGCCTTCTTGGACTTCCTGGACTTCTTGGCCTTCTCGGCCTCCACGGGGGCCTCCTTGGCCTCCTTGGTCTGTTCCTGGCGCCCGCGCTTGGCCAGCCAGCCGCCCATGCCCTCCTTCTGGGCCTCCTTGGCCTCCTCGGCCTCCTCGGTCACCTCGCCCCCCACGGTGGCCTTCTTGGCCTTGGCCGCCTCGGCCTCCACGGGCGCGGGGGCCGCCGAGCCGACGCAGCCGCCAGCGGCCCCGGCCGCGGCTGCGACGGCGGCCGCCGGCGTGACCGGCATCCAGGGCGGGGGGGCCAAGCCGGGGGCATCGGAGGCCTGCCCGCCAGCATCGGCGCGCGCGCAGGCTGCCGGGGGCGAGGGGCTGCCGTCCAAACCTGGGCGCTGTGGTTTGGCACCGCTGAGCGGGGCCCGCTGGGGGGTCCGCTTGGAGGTCGCAACGCCATCTTGCATGGCCAGCATGAGGCGGGCGCCAGTACTGTCGGGCCTGGCGGGGGGTTCACACACGCGTCGCACTCCGAACAGATTGGGCGGCCTTGATCCGAAAAGGCTTGAAAGCAATGGCATTCTCTGGGTTCCACGGCCGACTCTTGGCACTCTGTGGCGCGCGGCGACGGAAGAGGAGAGAGGACATGATAAACGAGGAAACGACGACGAATGAGCAGGCGGGGCGCCGGGGCCGGCGGGGCGCGGCAGACGGGCGGGCAGGCGGAAAGGGGCAAAGGGAAGACAGCAAGCAGGGAGCAGGGAGCAACCGCAAGCAAACGGGCCACGCTCGAGGCTCCAAGAGCGCTCCGAGAGGGGGCCAGGAGGCGACTTGTGGAGCTCCTGGGGGGCAGCGCTCAATGAAGCAGCCCTCTTTTTTCATCGGTGTCATCCAAGATGACCGCAAGACCAAGACGCCCAGGAGCGCCCCGAGAGGGCCCCAAGAGGCGCCAAGGAGACCCCCAAAGGCGCCCAATACGTCTCGAAGAGGCCCCCGGGATTCCCCCAAGAGGCCTCAAGAGGATCCCCGAGGCACCCGAGACGCTGAAAGACAACCCTGGAGGCCGAAGAGACTCCGAGCGTCATTCATGGGATCCCCCGCCGATGCCGGCTCGGCGCACCACGATAGCAGGTCGCGCCGCTGCCCGCTCCGCACATGCGTCACTTAGACCAAGATGATCTAGTGCGTTTCCTCTTCCAACCCCCTTCTTCCCCTTCGGGGAGACGCTGCCCCCCTCCCCACCCCCTCCCTTAGACCTGGAAAGGGGCTTTCGCGAGGTGTCAGAAGGTACTTTTTCGCCCGAGATGGCTCCAAGAGGGCCTCGGAGAGCCGAAGATGACGGCCGAGATGGCGCAAGATAGCCCAGGGTGCCTCAAGATGGCTCGGAACATGCTCCAAGGACCCCAAGGACGCTCCGTCGCGGCTCCAACAGGCGCCCGGGAATCCCCAAGGAAGCCTTGAAGAAGCCAAATTCTTTTCAACACTTAGGGGATACCAAACGTGTTTTGCCTTTTCGCCCGTTCGCTTCCGATGGCTTTCCGAAGCCTCAAGATGGCTCCAAGATTGCGCGCCGCCCGGCTCGGGCGCGTCGCCCGGCTCGGCTAACCGCCAAAGGCTACGGCGAGGAGGACGGTGTGCGCGGCGCCGCAGCTCTCGCATGGGCGTCGGTGCTGGCGTTGGGATGCGACATCTCATGTCTGACGCTGCTGAACTCCCAAGTTCAGCAGCGTCAGACCACTCTCAATTAAGAATGTTGACGCCCAACTCTGAACTCACTGACCCATGCATGCGCGCGGGATGCGACGTCTCATGTTGCATGCGTGGTAAATCCAGCCAGACCTCTAAGCTGAGGTGGTTTAGCGAATTCTGCCTTGTTTCTGCCGGCCCCGCTCCCTTCCCCTGCCTACCCCCTCCCCTGACGCAGCGACAGGAGGGCGGCGGGGTGGCAGAGAGGAGGAAAAGGGATAAGGGTTATGAAGTATGATTAAGAATGTGAAACACTTTGTGTGTGGCGTTGAACTTGGAGTAGCGTAGTGTGGATGGTACGTTTCAGTGATAGCGTACTTGTTGTTCAAGTTAATGGGGCGTTGAGATAATTGTTGTGCGGTATGGCTCTCTCATGCTGAGACTTGGGTGCGCTCGTTGCCCAAAGCTAGCTCCGGCAGCCTGCGCTGGCCACCACCATTGTCGCCGCAGGCCCCTGCCACCCCGTCGCTCCTGAGCAGGGTTGCATGGTTTGCTCCTTCGGTGACTTGGGTGTAGGTTTGGTCTGCAGCCAGTGGCGGCAGGTCGCACTGGCCGCGAGAAGTGGAGCCACAGGCCAGTGCCATCCCGTCACCCTTGGCAGAAATTGTGCGGTTTGATCCTGCTGCGGGTTGGGTAAGTCGTGCCCGCGACCATTGGCGACACGTCGCAGCGGCCGTCCTGAGTTGAGCCGCGGGCCACTGCCACCCCGTCGCTCCTTAGCAAAACGAGATGGCCGCCAAAGACAGACAGACCCACCCGCGGCGACCATCCAGGAGCGCGGACGGCGGGCGGCCTGTGAATCGCTGAGAGGATGGGGGCCGCCGGGGCCCCTGCTCGAACCGCGGTCTCAACGGAGCCCCCCGTTCTCTTTCTGCTCCTCCTCCTGCCCCCCTCCCCCTCGCCCCCTTCTTCCTTTTCTCTTCCGCCCCCCCCCCATTCCTTCCCTTATCCCGTTCTTCCCCCGTTTCCTCCTCCGTCTTCTTCCCCCTTTCCAGAGGTAACGGCGGCCCTCTCGTTTTCCACTGCGTGCTGCTACGCTCCCATGATCAGAGCAACTCGCCTGGGCATCGCCCCTGGACGGGCTGGCGGGGATACGCGAAGCGTCGAACACGCGTTCCCCCTTACATCCCCCTCCCCCCAGGGAAGCGCCTCTGGGCCCGCGCGCCGTCGAGGGCTTGACAACCTCACCCGAGTTGGCGCCTGGGCGGCGGCACGCTCCCGCCGTCTCGCGAGGGGAGCGAGGGGGGGTGGATGGACGGGAGCAGGAGGCGGAAGAGGAGCGGGCGATGAGGAGGAAGACGACGACGAGACAACGAAACTGGAAGGGCGGGGACGGGGGCGGGAAGCGTCAGACGGACGGGAGAGAGGACAAGGGTGGAAGGGACAGGGAGGACGAATAGCGAGAAAGGTAAGCTGATGCGGAGACTTTTTTTATATATAAAAAAGCGGGCGGTCATTACTCACTCCTCTGCTTTGTCGCCGTCTTTCCACCTTTTGCACCGTGCAACCGCTGCCTCGAAGCTCCGAGGCAAGGCATCGGGGCACTTTTGTGATCGCGGCAACTCGAGCGAACCGAGCGCGGCCAGAGGAGCTGGGCCACGACAACAACCTATTAGGCGGCGGGCGAACAGGGCCGGCGGACGAGAAAGGAAGGAGGGGGCCGCTCAGATGATGAACGCCTTCAAGGCATCGGGACGCGATGGCCTGGAATTTTCTGGGCAGGGCCCCAACGGGAGGGCCTTCAAAAGGCGCTTGCCCAAACCACAAAACCTGGCCTGAAAATTACACTAGCAGCGAGAAGCGGAACACCAACGCGCACGGCACGCGGAAACGGCACGGCACGGCGCTCGGGCACGGCACGGCAGAGAGCACGGCCGCGCACGGCGCGGCACGGCACGCGGGCGGCAACGGGCATGTGGGAACGGCGAAAGCCATGATTGGATTCCCGGTGGCCAGGAATGCCAGCAACTTCCAGGACTTGCACAGGTCCGCCACCGTGCCGCGAAGCACAACTGAAGTGTTCTGGTGCCCCTTTGCGGTCTTCAGTCCTCGGTCCCGTGGGTTTGCGCGGCGCGTGGCTCCTGGGGCGCAACGCCCCAGGCCGAACGGACATGCCGCTCTTTCGGCTCCATAAATGCCGCAAGAATGCAACATCTCGGAGCCCACGGAACGCTCCTAAGAGGGCAAGAGTCCCCGAGAGGCCCCGAGGATGCCCCCCCCACACCGCCCCCACCCCCCGAGAAGCCCCCAAGAGGGCCCCCAAAAACCTTACCTCAAGACGTTACCAGAAAACCCCCGAGAGGCATCCCGAGAGACCCTGGCGTGCATCCAAAGAGCCTGTGGCCCGAAACCCGGGCACGATGGCGGGATGGAACAAGGGCCACCAGATCAACCCTCAAAGTGTGATGCGTGCCCCCGGTGATGGTGTTGGCGCCAGCCATGCGAAAAGAAGACGAAGTCGTTTTCGTCTATCCCTGCCAGTTCCGCGCAGATCTCGCGGGTGGTCTGGCTGAACTCTTCTGGAGGATTTTGGCGGCGACAATGTTTGGACTCGGACCAGAGGGGGGCAACCGGCAGCAGGGTGCGAAACAGGGGCGCGAGAAAAAATGGACGAGGGGGGCGGCAGGAGTGAGGAAACATTGATACATTGATACAGGACGGGGGAGACACAGGACGCAGGACCGACCATGAAGAGCAGGAGAGCGGGATGATGAAGCAGGCGGAGGGGGAATAAATCCAAGCCTCCCCATCCACCGCTTCATTCGCCCATCATTTCTCTCTCCCTTCTTGCTCCCCCCCCTTCGCGAGGCTCTCGTGCGGCACAATTGGGATACTCTTTGACCGGCCAGGAGGGCCGAAGAGGTTCGTCGACCTTCGATTGCCGGAGTTTTCTTCGCAACTTTGGGCCTCCGTCGATCCTCGATCCTCGATCCTCGATCGAGGATCGATGCTCTCGGGGGTTATGCTGGGTCCTGGAGGTTTTCACGCCCCGGGGTATTTTCCAGCAAGTGCGACAACGGCGGCGGCTACGACGGCGGCGACGGCGACGACGACGACAACGACTGCGCAGACGGCGACGACGGCGATGACGGCGACGACGGCCGCCGGGGTACTTTCCAGCAGCTGCGACCTGCCGAGGGCGCCCCCGGGGGTATCCGAATCGTCCCGAACGGCCGCTGGAGACCCAAGCTGTGGCCGGGAAACCATCCGGAGGATCGATCTTCGTGGGGGGGGGAAGAATGCGAGAGAGAGAGAGAGAGAGAGAGAGAGAGAGAGCGAGAGAGAAATATAGAAACAGTGAAAGAGCGAACGAGAGAGAGAGAGAGAGAGAGAGAGAGAGAGACAGAGAGGGGAAGCTGATTGCATGAGAGAGAGAGAGGAGCCAGCGAGACGGCTGGGGAAGGGGGAGGAGGGTCGAGGGAAGATTGACGCGGGAGGGGGGGAGGAGGATCCAGGATCGAAGATCCGGGATCGAGGACCCTCGGTCCTCGAATGGACCAGTCTCTCCGCGACAGGGGGCGGGGGTCGTCGACGACGACGACGGCCACCGCCGCATCGGCGACGACGGCGACGGCCACCACCACGGTGACCACCACGGCGACGACGATGACTACGACAGCCTCCCTCGCCGCCGCCGCCGCCGCCGCCGTCGTCGTCGTCGTCGGCGGCGGCGGCGGCGCGCGGCGTCCGCAGCACTTCCGACGACGCGGCCCCCCCGTGCCTCTCGACACCCCCCGGGGGCCAGCTTCTCATCCCGAGTCGCTGTCGTGCGACGACAGCAACGACGACGACGGCGGCGGCGACGACGACGACGACGCCGACGCCGACGACGACGACGGCGGCGGCGGCGGCGACGACGGCGGCGCGGCGGCGGCGACGACGACGACGACGACGACGACGACGCCCACGACGACGACGGCGGCGACGACGGCGACGACGTCGACGACGACGACGACGGCGGCGGCGGCGACGACGACGACGACGGCGGCGGCGGCGGCGACGACGACGACGCCAAGGCCGACGACGACGCCGACGACGACGACATCGACAGCGACGACGACAGCGACAGCGACGACGACGACGACAGCGGCGACGACAGCGACGACGACGACGACGACGACCACCACCACCACGCCGGCGACGCCGACGACGACGACGACAACGACAGCGACGACGACGACAGCGACGGCGACAGCGACGACGACAGCGACGACGACGACGACCCCGACGACGACGACGACGCCGACGACGACACGAGGAGACAGCCAGAGGAGGGCGAGGAGGTCCCTACCCGGCCGACATCTCCTGCAGCTCGCGCCCCCCGCCCCCCTCCCCTCTGGCAGATCCTCACTGGGGGCTGCAGCGGAGGGCGGGGGGGGGGGCGTTGGGCCATGAAGGGAAAGGGCGGGGGCGGTAGGTGGGGAGGCGGGGTAGGACAGATGGAGGAAGCGCGGGCAGGGGGCGCAAAAAAGAAATAACATAACATTGAAAAGACCTCGCTGCGACATCGACGTCCGCACCCGGCGGAACACGGTCCGCAGGTGCACGACCTGACTTTACGGCAAGTCGGCAGCCCACGACTTTACGGGAAGTCGGCACCCCACGACTGATACGGACAGTCGGCACCCCACGACTTTCACGGTAAGTCGGCAACCGTTTCGCCATGGCTTCCACCGGCATTCGCGCCCTCGGTCCGGGGCAAGTTCCCGACAGAAGCAGTGAGCAGCCACTGATGGCTTGAGAGCGCGCCGTCGAGAAGTAAACTGTTCCCCACTCCTCGTCCGTCTCCTCCGCATTATGTCCACCAAATGGCGTTCCTGTTACCCCCCTCGCCGTCCTCACTTCCACTCGCCATTCCTCCCCTCCCCACCACGCTTCGACGTCTACCTCATGCTCCTGTTCATCTTCCGCATTCTCATCCCCCTTCAACACTGCTAAAAATGAAAGGGCGTACGGATGGCGAGCGAGACTGAAAAAAAGAGGCAGCTCGGAGATCACGGTGGACCATCCAGGGGACCTACACCTGTGGGAACACCGGGAGTATCAGGAAGCCTTGGGCTGATGACAAGACGTCTGGACCAGAAGCACGCGACTGAACATAGACCTACAGAACGCGTCGAAACGGATCCATGATGACGGATAGAGAAACCACGTGATCTTACCATGGGCTATCCTATACTACGCACGCTATCGTACCCGACTGGCACACTTGCGATCGAGACTCTTTGATGCCCTGCGATCGAGACTCTTTGAGCCCAAGAAGATCTCCGGTAACTGCTTTACAATATTTCTACTTCGCGCGCGCGGGGCGGCCCCTGGGGGTCCCCTGAGGAAAAATACCCCAGGCGATCCCTGGCAGACTCGGATAAGAGATGGTTTACCTCCTGGGAGCCGCCCTCGAGCCCTCCAGAAAGCCCCAAGAAGGACCAAGACGCCCCCAAGAGGCCCCCACGATGGTACACGAGGGGTCCGAGATGCCACAAGATCGCTCCAAGACGTCCAAGATGGCCCCCAGACGCCCGGAGAGGCCTCCCAGAGCACTCCCAAGAGGGCCCCAAAAGGCAAACTTCATTGCTTTCCCTGAGGTTTTGGTCAGATTTTGGTGCTTCTACCTTTTCGGCTTCCCGACGCCCCAAGACGGCCCAAGAGGCCCTCAAGACCGCCTCAAGAGGGCCCAAGAGGCCCCCAAAAAGGCTCCAAGACGGCCCAAGACGGCTCTAAGACGGCCCAAGAGGCCTCCAAGACGGCCCAAGAGAGCCCCAAGAACGCCCCAAGAGGGGCCCCAGGGGGGGGGAACACGGAACAACATTTCGAGCCCTCGGCCCTAAGAACCCCCCAGGAGGTACCAAGAGGCCCCTCAGAGGCCCCAAGACGACGAGGCGGAAGGGGGAAGCAGCGGGTGGACAAAACACCGAGATGACGGAAGCAAAGAGAGAGGTACAAGGGGGGAGAAGGCGAGAGGAGGAGGAGGGGGAGGAGGGCGAGAAGCAGCAGGGCGAGGAGCTGGAAAGGGACTCAAGGAAATCCCCGAATGTCCCCGGAAGTCCCCCGCGGCCCTCCGAGACATTTGCTTTGCCATAGACTCTTCGTGGCTTCCGACACCTCGCCTGCGGGTTCCAAGGCCCATTTCGGGCCCCAGGGGCCTTCACAAACCAACCCAAGGCGCGATATCGATACTGAAGATAAGGTCGGAGGCCTCC